TGCTAGCTCTCTCCCCTCACTTTTGTCCTCTGTGTATTTCTCACAAACCAAAGGGTGTGTTGAAGATGGCTTTATAAAGCAAATTGGTGGTGGGGGTATGAGGGAAGCTTGTGAGGCATAGAATCTTAATTGAAAAACTGATCAAACCAATCCAATATTCACAGCGACTTGAAAAGAGATATTGTCCTTGCTATGGTTACTTTCTTTTTTCGCCTATTGTGATTGTGGGTCCTCCTGCCCCTCTAATTCCACAGACCCATTTTTGTTTTTCTATATATATATATATATATTTGTTTTTCTATAAGTTGGCATTCGTATTCATTCGTCCTCCTGTCAATGGCAAAGCTGGGAATCTTATTCTCTCATTTTAGATGAGGGGAATCCACTATCACTATGGCCTTGAGAGGCCGCCCTTCACCCTCAAGTCCTCAATGGAAGATTCTTAGAATTTGCATATCTTTACTAGTACTTGTCCTTCCTTCACTTTGGTCTTGACTCTTGGGACGTCGAGTATGCACGCGTGCGCGCGTGTATGTATTTTTGAGTAAACAAAGAAGATGGGGATGCATCACGAGGACTTGCCACATGAAGTTGTTTCTTCAGTTGTCAATGTGCACATTGCATTGATACTATTTTTTTCGTAAATCAATAAGGCCTTACTTGCACGATGAATGTTTATCTATACTAGTAAAGTGGGCAGATGGAGACCCAAAAGAAGGCTTTTAATTTAACTGGTTATTACTGGAGAATTTTGGAAGAAGATTCTGTTGACTGAAGCACCTAAGCTAGCTTCAAACTTTGGAATAAGATAAAAACAAGAAAAAATTAAAATTAAAATATAAAAAATATAAAAAAATATAAAAAAAAAGATGAGATGAGATGAGATGCTCTCTCCTTGGAGTTGGAGATTATATGAAATGAAGGCAAAGAATGGAATATGGAATACATTCTATTTTGTCTCCTTCAGTAAGTTTGGTACTTATTCAGCCCACAAGGTATATTAGTATAAAATATATAACAAGGTGGGACCCAAATTCCCCTTTTTCTTCCTTCAACTGGCTACAGCCGGCCCCGCACCGACGAATCCTAAGCAGCCGGGACCCAACACAAGAGGAAAAAGAAAGAAAGGAAATAAAATAAAATAAAATAAAAAAAGAGAAGATTTTTGGGTTGTACCTTGCTTTCTATAATTGCACTGCATTTGATGGACATCTCACATGACAAGGTCGTCTCGTCATGCCCTAAAACTAAATAATATGATTCAAAATAGTCAATTACACTGCTTACCACCACTGTTCAGGTTGAGAGAATACCTCATATTTGAAAAATGAAAGGTTTGTTGCACTAGTGCTTTAAAAATTACATAGACTTTTAAGACGGTATCAAAGCGGACTATTTAAGTGTCAAGCTCAACAATCATGCGTGCTTTTCACGTCACTCAACATACAATTGTACCTATTTTAGTCTTATATAACTTATAAATTTACATCGTTGAATCCACCCGGAATTTCTTCTATGATCATAGTAATAAAGGTCCTAATACATTACAGATAATTACAAATTACAATTATAAGTTTTTACAAATAAGCTCATTTTAGCATGACATAGTATACAAAAAATCTTTATAGAACCTATTTGAAGAGAAAAATTCAAAACTAGTCACTTGTCATTTTCTAATTGGTTCTTAGAAAATTTGAACACACTAAAATCAATTAGAAAGTGACAAGTGGCTAATTTTGGATTTCTTAACAAATACACTCTATAAAGAATTTTATATATTATGTCGTGTTAAAATAGGCTTATTTGTAAATTTAAAAAAAGT